GTGGCGTGAACATGTGACCCTGCCTGGCCAATCAGGGCATCCCATCCCTGTGGGCATGCTGATTGGTTCATGATTGGAGCACATGACCTGGCTTGGACCAATGAGTGTCTTCCCTGGATTCTTTGGTGGAATGAATGGCTGGACTCTTCCTGTGCAGAGGGAGGTGGCTTCATGGGGGAGGAGCTCGTGCAGCTCCTGGACGCGGCCATGCCTGAAGCTGGCCACAGCACGGACACTGACCTTTGGGCTTAGAGCGGTTCAGTTCAGGCTCCCATCCCTTGCAATCCGAGAAGCTCTCCCTGCTCTGCAGGGTGGGCCTCAGCCCCCAGCAGGACTGTCCCCGCCTCTCGGGGTGTGGTGCCCTGCCTGTGTCCACTTACGCCCCCGAGTGGACGTGGAAGGAGCCCACTTGGTTGCCGTCCCAGCCCATGGCCTGCAGTGAGGGGTAGTCATCACTCAGCTCTCCTTTCCTGCCCAGGAAGTTCTCCTGCTCGAAGATGGTCAGCCTCGAGTCGCGGTGGTTCTGCGGGCACAGACAGCGTGGTCAGAGGCCAGCTGGCCCGCTGGACACCCAGGAGCCTCTGCTGTCCCAACTCTGCCTTTGCAAACCTTGTGGGAGCCAGTAAGGTGACAGGGACTACAGACTTTGTAAGAGGTGTTGTCATTTGCCCTCGTAGAGTTCCCACGAAGAAAATAATCAGAAAATAAGCCACGGGCGTGCGTCCGTAACAGCAAGGACCTGAACGTCCAGCCACGGTGCACCAGGACAGAAGCTGGGTAGGAAGAGTGAGTGTGGCACTGAATTCGAATCCCGACTCCGCCTCTTTCAGCTGCCTGAGCTGAGGCAGCCTCGCAGCCCTGCTTCCACAGCCCAAGACGGAACCAAGCGCATGGTCTCTGTATTTGCACACCGCCGTGGCCGTTTGCAGAACGAATAAGCATGCTCCCCCAGCATGGAGTACTAGGAAGCCATGAAAAATGACGGCAATGGAAGAAGGTGGTGTAGCTGTCCAACGAACAAGCTGCTTCCCAAGCCTTAAGTTCGTGATTTGATTTTTGGCTCATGGTGGCTCTGGGGTCGCGGCCAGGTGTCACACGTGCTAAGCCAGCGCCCCCACCCCTGGTTCCTAAGGTTTGATTTTATAAGAAGGCTACCTGTGTGTGATATGCAACTACAGACGGCACAGGTGTGGTGTAGACGCCATGTCACACTCAGGAGTCGTCTCCAGACCTCTGTCTCAGACGTGTGCTGCTAGTGACTTACTTTCTTAATCTGTCGTATCAGAGATGGTTTTTTCTTTTCTGATTTTTGGATGATAAATATGGTGACTTACGTGATTTGAAATCAAAAAATTATTTTTAAGGAAAATGAACTAGCCAGGCACTGTGACTCACGCCTGTAATCCCAGCTACTTGGGAGGCAGAGATCAGGAGGATCGCAGTTCAAAGCCAGCCTGGGAAAATAGCTCATTTTTTGAGCCCCTGTCTCAAAAAAAACCCTTCACAAAAATAGGGCTGGTGGAGTGGCTCAAGGTGGAGGCCCTGAGTTCAAATCCCAGTGCCACAAAAAGAAAGAAAGAGGTTGAATAGGCCTTTCTGGGGTTCCATTTTTCATCTCCAAGGTGGAGTCCTGACCGTCCCCAGAGGACTGGGACAAGTCCTGGAAAGCTGTTTTCGCCCAGCGTCTCCCTGGCCGCCACAGCACGCAGGGGACCCGGTCAGGACAGAGAGGTCACTGTGGAGTCTGGCTAGGACCGTGTCCTCTTCTCCCGGACCTGGGCACTGTCCCCCCATCTCAAGATGAAGAGACTGAGGGTCAGAGAGGGTCACTGCCTGCGTCACACACTTGAAGCGGGGACAGGAGAGCTGAACCCTGGATGCCCAGTTGCCAAGTGTCCCCTGAGGGACCGGGGTGGGACTCACCGCGCAGGCCACCGGCCGGAAGGAGGTGAGCCTGTCCACGGGGTAGGCCGTGTTCCCGCTCCAGGCGCCGCAGCACGGGTACTCACCGCGCTCCAGCACGAACTGCTGGCCTTGGAAGCCGGCGTGCTCGAAGCCCAGCCACCTGCAGGCAGGGACAGGGCAGGGACAGGGGTCACAGCCCCCACCTGAGGCCTGGCCAGGGCCGGCGTGCGATGACCGAGCTCCCAGGGCAATACCTGGACCCACTTTGGGTTGTCACAATGAGGGGACATCCTGGGGTACTGGACGTCCCCACCCCAAGGAAGGATCTGACCAGGTATCTGTCATGCCCAGGGGGCCTGCTGACTGGGTGTCCCACAGATAGGGACGGCTCTGCAGCCATCTTGTGTGCATGTGGCCATGTGGCCACATAGGCTAGGCCCTGCCTGGGCTGACCTGACCCCTGTGGGGGTCCTACAGGACGCCGGCCACCTTGTGACAGATCTTTATCCCCCTCGTCCCCTAGTCCCCATGAGGGACGGGACTTTCCACTGTGCCACCCCTAGGGGACAGCAGCAGACCATGGTAAAGCCAAGGGGTGGCCCCTGGGTGACAGGGAACCCACAGCTCCTGCGCTGATGGCTGCCACTATCGAGCCCCTGTCATTTTGTGTCACCCGAAGGGACAAGGGACCCAGGAGGCTGACCCCATGAGCGCCTGTGTATGCTCTGTCCCTAAGTGAATGTAGCCAGGTTCACCATCTCCCTCACGAGGCTGGCAGCCTGTGACACCGCACAAGACAGGGACCCCATTTCCCCACCCCACAGAGATGTGCACAGAGCCCCCAAGGTGACACTGGGGGTGTCACAAGCATGGCACCCACTCACAGTCCCACAGGGAGAAAACTCTCCTCCCAGAACCTTCTGTCCACTGTGACAGCCACGTGACACACACAGCTCATTCAATGTCAATGTAAACAGCTACAACAAAGTGAGTCAAAACTCGGTCCTTTGTCACACTGTCCGCATCTGAAACCCTCAGCGGTCCCTGTCGCCAGGGCTCTGGTGGATGGACAGATGTACATGTCCACGCTGGCAAGAATGGCTCCTGGCTCCCCTCCATCCCTCTCCTCTCCTCCTACAGGTCCTCCATCGCCTCCTCCTCCTCCTCCTCCATCTCCTCCTCCATCTCCTCCTCCTCCTCCATCTCCTCCTCCTCCTCCATCTCCTCCTCCATCTCCTCCTCCTCCTCCATCTCCTCCTCCTCCTCTCCTCCTCCATCCTCCTCCCTCCTCCTCTCCATCTCTCTCCTCCTCCATCTCCTCCCTCCACTCCTCTTCCTCCCCTCCTCCATCTCCTCCTCCATCTCCTCCTCACCTCCCATCTCCTCCTCCTCCTCCTCCCCTCCTCCTCTCTCCATCTCCTCCTCCATTTCCTCCTCCTCCTCCATCTCCTCCCTCCTCCTCTCCTCCCATCTCCTCCTCCTCCTCCTCCTCCTCCTCCATCTCCTCCTCCTCCATCTCCTCCTCCTCCATCTCCTCCTCCTCCATCTCCTCCATCTCCTCCTCCTCCTCCATCTCCTCCTCTCCCTCCATCCCTTCCTCCTCCTCTCCTCCTCCTCCTCTCCCTCCTCCATCTCCTCCTCCTCCTCCATCTCCTCCTCCTCCTCCATCTCCTCCTCCTCCTCCTCCTCCATCTCCTCCTCCATCTCCTCCTCCTCCTCCATCTCCTCCTCCTCCATCTCCTCCTCCTCCTCCTCCTCCTCCTCCATCTCCTCCTCCTCCATCTCTCCTCCTCCTCTCCTCCTCCTCCATCTCCTCCTCCATCTCCTCCTCCATCCTCCTCCCTCCTCCTCCTCCATCTCCTCCTCCTCCTCCATCTCCTCCTCCTCCATTTCCTCCTCCTCCTCCATCTCTCCTCCTCCTCCCTCCTCCTCCATCTCCTCCTCCATCTCCTCCTCCTCCTCCATCTATCCTCCTCTCCCTCCATCTCCTCCTCCTCCATCTCCTCCTCCTCCATCTCCTCCATCTCCTCCTCCTCCTCCATCTCTCCTCTCTCCATCTCCTCCTCCTCCTCCTCTTCCTCCTCCTCCATCTCCTCCTCCATCTCCTCCTCCTCCTCCTCCTCCACCTTCTCCTCCTCCTCCCTCCTCCATCTCCTCCTCCTCCTCCCTTCTCCTCTCTCCATCTCCTCCTCCTCCTCCTCCTCCTCCTCCTCTCCTCTCCTCCTCCTCCATCTCCTCCTCCTCCTCCTCCTCCTCCATCTCTCCTCTCCATCCTCCTCTCCTCCATCTCCTCCCTCCTCCCTCCCTCCATCTCCTCCTCCTCCATCTCCTCCTCCTCCATCTCCTCCTCCATCTCCTCCTCCTCCTCCATCTCCTCCTCCTCCTCCATCTCCTCCTCCTCCTCCATCTCCTCCTCCTCCTCCTTCTCCATCTCCTCCTCCTCCTCCTCCATCTCCTCCTCCATCTCCTCCTCCTCCTCCCCCATCTCCTCCTCTCCATCTCCTCCTCCTCCTCTTCCTCCTCCTCCATCTCCTCCTCCATCTCCTCCTCCTCCTCCTCCATCTCCTCCTCCATCTCCTCCTCCTCCTCCATCTCCTCCTCCTCCATCTCCTCCTCCATCTCCTCCTCCTCCTCCCCTCCTCCTCCATCTCTCCTCCTCCATCTCCTCCTCCATCTCCTCCTCCTCCCATCTCCTCCTCCATCTCCTCCTCCTCCTCTCCTCCTCCTCCTTCCTCCTCCTCTCCTCCTCCTCTATCTCCTCGTCCTCCATCTCCTCCTCTCCTCCTCTCTCCTCCATCTCTCCTCCTCCATCTCCTCCTCTCTCCTCCATCTCCTCCTCCTCCATCTCCTCCATCTCCTCCTCCATCTCCTCTCCTCCTCCATCTCCTCCTCCTCCTCCTCCATCTCCCTCCTCCTCCTCCATCTCTCTCCTCCTCCATCTCCTCCTCCTCCTATTCCTCCTCCTCCTCCATCTCCTCCTCTCCTCCTCCATCTCCTCCTCCTCTCCTCCATCTCCCTCCTCCATCTCCTCCTCCTCCTCCTCCTCCTCCATCTCCTCCTCCTCCTCCATCACCTGTTCCTCCATCTCCTCCTCCTCCTCCTCTCCTCCATCTCCTCCTCCTCCATCTCCTCCTCCATCTCCTCCTCCTCCATCTCCTCCTCCTCCATCTCCTCCTCCCTCCATCTCCCTCCTCCTCCATCTCCTCCTCCCCTCCATCTCCTCTCCTCCTCCCATCTCCTCCCTCCTCCATCTCCTCCTCCTCCATCTCTCCTCCCTCCATCTCCTCCTCCTCCATCTCCTCCTCCTCCTCCTCCATCCTCCTCCCCTCCTCCTCCTCCTCATCCATCTCCTCCCTCCTCCTCATCCATCTCCTCCTCCTCCTCCATCTCCTCCTCCATCTCCTCCTCCTCCATCTCCTCCTCCTCCATCTCCTCCTCCATCTCCTCCTCCTCCTCCATCTCCTCCTCCTCCATCTCCTCCTCCACCTCCTCCTCCTCCATCTCCTCCTCCTCCATCTCCTCCTCCATCTACTCCTCCTCCTCCTTCTCCATCTCCTCCTCCTCCTCCTCCATCTCCTCCTCCTCCTCCATCTCCTCCCTCCTCCTCCATCTCTCCTCCTCCTCCTCCACTCCTCCTCTCCTCCTCCTCCTCCTCCTCCTCCTCCTCGTCCTCGCTCCATCTCTCCTCCTCCTCCATCTCCTCCTCCATCTCCTCCTCCTCCCTCCTCCTCCATCCTCCTCCTCCATTCCATCCTCCCTCCTCCTCCTCCATCTCCTCCTCCATCTCCTCCTCCATCTCCTCCTCCTCTCTCCTCCATCTCCTCCTCCTCCATCTCCTCCTCCCCTCCATCTCCTCCACTCCTCCTCCATCTCCCTCCTCCTCCTTTCCATTCCTCTTCTCCTCCTCTATCTCCTCCTCCTCCATCTCCTCCTCCTCCTCCATATCCTCTTACTCCTCCATCTCCTCCTCCTCCATCTCCTCCTCCTCCTCCATCTCCTTCTCCTCCATCTCCTCCTCCTCCTCCTCCTCCATCTCCTCCTCCTCCTCCATCTCCTTCTCCTCCATCTCCTCCTCCTCCTCCATCTCTACCTCCTCCTCCATCTCCTCCTCCTCCATCTCCTCCTCCTCCTCCTCCATCTCCTCCACCTCCATCTCTTCCTCCATCTCCTCCTCCATCTCCTCCTTCTCTTATCTCTCTCTCTCTCTCTCTCTCTCTCTCTCTCTCTCTCTCTCTCTCTCTCTCTCTTTCTCTCTCTCCCTCCTTCCCTCCCTCCCTCTTTCTCCCCCTGAGTCTCAGGCAAAAATACGTAATTACAGTTATTAGGATATTTCTGCATTTCTCTCACTCCCTTGCCCTTTGGTGGGTAATGCTGGTTTTTCATTTGCGTCTGTTGGTGACATTTTCAGGCCCAGCGCTCAGTTCCACGGTCTGCCCCGCAGGGCTGCCTCACCCACTGGGCAGGGGCTCGTGGAGACCTCTTGCATCGGCCAGTGTACAGCCTGGGTCACCTCGCGCGGCGTCCCGCACAGTCCTCAGGCACAGTCAGAGCCTGAGAACATCCAAAACTCCCCCTTCCTGCCCAGGTCTCTTCCTGCCCCCACCCCCTGCCTCAGTTTCCCCAGACTCACGCTCCACTCAGGACTTTCAAGGACCGCACGGTCTCGAAGCCAAGGTCCAGCACACTGGGGCACTCGGCCGTGAAGTCGTGCCGCCGGCCCTGGAAGCCTTCCTCATCCCACACCACCATCTGTGCAGGAGAGAAAGGAGGGGTGACCCCAGGCTTCCGAACCCCTGGGGCCAAGGGGCCCGGGGCTCACCCGGCCCTCAGCGGGGAGTGGGGCAGATAAAACGGGGGTCGTAGCCGGGCACGGTGCCTCACGCCTGTAATCCCAGCTACTTGGGAAGCGGTGAAGTAGTTCAAGAAACCCCCTGTCCATCCAAAATAACCAGGGAAAAGTAGACTCGCAGAGGCGTGGCCCACGCAGCAGAGCACCTGCTTTGCACACGCTAAGCCCTGAGTTCAAATCCCAGTCCCACAAAAGCAACAACAGGGTTGTGTCGTGGAGGGCCGGCAGGGGGCCGGCAGGGCACTCTTGTGTGTGATAAGTGGGGACGGGGCCGGACTTTGGTGTGTTTCCTCCAGACTCTGTGCAGTGGGCAGGGTACGGTCAGCACTGTCCCATTAGGGGAAGTGGGGTGCCTCCTCCCGCCCCTCTTGGGTCACCCGTCTGTGTCACCTCCTACCTTCCAGTGTCCTGCTGACTTGGTGCATTGCAGGGTCATGCCGGCCCCTTCCTGCAGGGAGGAGAACAGGGTTTGGGCTCAGCCAGGACGCTGATGGGGTCCAGGGGTGGCCAGGCGAGGGGTAAAGCCTGTCCCCATCCTGTCCTTTTCATCTGGAACAAAGCCACCTTGCCTTTTATCAGCATCTGAAAATCTCCCCGTTCTGGGTCCCGAGGTGTCCCTGTGTCATTTGGTGGCCTGCTGTGGGGAGGTCTGGGTGGTGGCCCCTGGGCAGTTGCAAATGGACCCAGCAAGGGATAAAGTCCTAGTTTACGGTCACCAACCCTCGGGGCCTCTGCTGGTGAAGACTCGGGCAACAGGACCGAGGAGCAAGTCTGTGTCTCAGTGAAGGTTTCGGGGGCCATTCTGGAGGCTTGTGGCCTCTGCTAGGTGACCATGGCAATTCAGGATGACACAGTGACATCGCCAGGACTGGGGACCTGGGCTCCTGACCTCCTTACGAGACAGGCTCTGAGAACATGTCAGAAGCAGGTCCAGCCATGGCCGAGCTCTTATAGGCGCGGAGGGGACAGGGGCCCCTGGACGCAAAGCCCCTACTCAGCAAGTGACCACAGAAACAAAAGCTAGGACTGGCGTGGCCCCAGGGCACCAGATGGGCATGTCAGCAGCCCTGGCTTTAGCTGGGAGAGTCAGGGCAGGGAGCTTGCCCCAGGGGTCAGCCACAAAGAAGAGGTAGAAAGCTGGCTTCTCCATGACTGGGAACAAGTCACTGCACTTAGTGTCTGCCCCCAAATGGGACTGGACAATTGTCTGCTCCTTTGTCCCTCAAGTGCCCCATTCTCTACGCTCCAGCCAGAAGCAATCCGGGCAGGCTGCATGGTGGAGGTGTAATTTGAAGTAGACTCTGAAGGGTGGTGAGTGAGGTGGAGGGAGATCATGAGACACAAGCCCAGGGGTCCTGCAGGGGTGGGACACAGGACAGGTGACTGGACCACCACCTGCAGGGTCTGTAAAACCCCCAACAAGAATCCCGATGAGGAGCTGCTGTTTGCACACGTGCTTTGCAAAGTGACACCCAGCCCTGTCACGGAGGAGGCTGGGCCTGGTCACTCAGGTGACATCCAGCCCTGTCCACCTGTCCCATCCGGGTGACCTGGAGGTTGCCCGAGTAACAGCCAGCAAAATGACAGCATCCCTTCCTTCCTGGGACGGTGAGCGCAGGCCCCAGGTGGGATACGGGGTCCCCACACCCCACACCTGACAGCAGGCTCCCTAAACTAACAGGGCCTCAGTTTCCCGGTGCACAAAATGGGTCCAGCCTGGGAGACGGCTGTTGGGAGGATAACGGCGAATTCCTCGGGAACGGCGTTAGTGACAAAAAGCACGCGGACCTCCGTCAGGCCTGTCACCGTCCTCGCTAGCAATAAGGTGTTTGTCATCAAATAATTATTGAGAACCCCAATCCCATCCCGCAGATGGGAAGAGCTGGGAGGGGTGAGCAGGGGACACCCCAGTTTCTTGCCTGTAAATGGACATGCTGGGGACAAGTAAAATGTCCAGACTGGAGCCACCCAGCAAGGTGGGCCGTCCCCACCCTGTCCCTGTCCCTGGTGGGGACGCGGACTGCTCCAGAGGCCTGGCCTCACAGCCCAGGCCTGTGGGTGGCCACGCCGCAGCCTCTTGGCCCAGTGGTGGCTGCGGCCAGCGGTCACTGCCTCGCCCTTGAGCCCTGGCTCCGGATGAAAGGCAGAGGGGAGGCCGGGAGGCCGGGAGGCAGAGGCAGCGCTGGCTGGAGGCCAAGGTAATCACGACATGGAGCTGAGGCCTCCACGTGGATCCTGGGCCCCAAAGAAGTGGCAGAGCTCTGTGCAGACCCCACACACGCCCCACCTGGGGTCAGCAGCCAAGGGACATGCTGAGAACGTCCCCCACTTCTGTGTGGCCGCTCCACTGGGAGCTCACAGCCTCTGGGCCTCAGTTTCCCCCCTTGTGGAATGGAGGTGCTCACCTGGCTTCTGGCATCTCCTCCTCATTGAAGACTTCATGGTCCTTCCCGGACCTTTGCGTCTGTCTGTCTCACTGTCCGTCTCCCTTCGGCCCCTCTGTCTCCACCACTGTCCTTTCTGTCACTCTCCACCCCTGTACCCCCCTTGTGTTATGAGATGTTTTGTCACCAAAAAGTGACAAAGGGCCTGCTGGGGCCCGGGCCCTGGCCAGACGCTGGAACCAGGGGCCACTAAGACGGTGGAGTGTGGGTGTCTGACAGCGGCTGTCACAGTCCTTGTCCCCACTCTGTCTCTGGGGTCAGATGGGCAGCTCAAGGAAGGCTGGGGTACAATTTGGGCAGAAGTCCTGGACCCCATCTTGACTGAGCAAGCACACGACACCCCTGCTGCCATCCCACCCAGGACCCAGAACCACGAAGTCATTTTGGGCCTTGACTGGAGCCACCCAGCAAGGTGGGCTGTCCCCACCCGTCCCCATCCCTTGTCCAGCAGCCCAAGGCCAAGGAGGGAGGCCGTGGAACCGCTGCAGACGTGGTCAGGGTCGAGGTCACACCCAGCGTGCCTGCCAGGGCGCTCTGGCCTCTGTGCCCCGGTTTTCCTCTCTGTGAAATGGGTACGAGACAGCTGGTCCTGCAGTGGAAGGATGGACTTGCCATGGACAAAGCACGGGGACATGCAAAGCCTCCCAGACAGCCACCTCTCCTGAGCGCGGGGTCCCCTTCCGTTCCCACTCGGGGTCACCTATCTCCGCAGACGGCCCTGAGGGACCTGCCAGAAGCCACAGGGTGCCTGGTGGCCCAGCCAGGGTTGAAAGCCAGGTGTCCTGTCTGCCGAGGCGTCCCCTTCTCCCTGCCCGGGTGGCCCCGGGGCCCCAGGCCCGTCCCCAGCTGGCGACGTGGCTCTGCACTCACAATGGAAAGTGCTGCTCTCTGCAGAGGAGAGGCCACGCTGAGCCAGCGGCCCCTTTGTCACCGCCACAGGGCTGCTGCCTGCCAGGTGATAAAACGGGGGTCACCCAGGCTCCACAGCCACCCGCCTGTACTCCAGCAGGAAGGGTCCCCTGCACAGGTAAGAGGGGACAAGAGGGGACCGCCACACCGCTGAGACTGAGGGGAGAGAGGGGGGAGAAAGAGGGAGAGGGAGACAGAGAGAGGGAGAGAGAGAGAGGACAGAGAAAGGGAGGTGGGGGGAGAGAGGAGAGAGAGAGAAGAGAGACACAGAGAGAGAGGAGATTGACAGAAAGAGAGAGAGACAGAGAGAGGAGAGAGAGATAGAAGAAAGGCACAGAGAAAGAGGAGAGAGGAGGAGAAAGAGAGAGAGGAGAGAGACAGAGACAAAGGGAGAGAGAGAGGGAGAGAGAGGAGTGATGGAGTAGAGAGAGACACAGCCAGGCAGAGAGAGAGGGGACGGGGAGAAGGAGATATTCAGGAAAGAATGAGCCGCCAGGTGGTGAAAGCCCCCATGTCTGTCCCACCAGCCACCACGCCCGGAGATGCCACCGTCTCCCCAGGAGGGCCAAGGGGGGGTGACCTCGCAGACAGGGGTTGGGGACCAGCTGGACCCGGGTCTCACGCCTGCAGTTGTCTGCAAAGTTCAAAGGGACATTGTCCCTGGGGACAGTGAAGGCCCTCAGCACAGTCACAGGCGTCCATGTCCCCAGGGCAATCCAGGAGCCACTGAGATTGGTCATGTCCTCTCCATCCTAGACCCACGCAGCCACAGGCCCGGCCTGACTTGCATCACGTCCACCCCAGATGACACAGCTGGGGACAGGGATGGGGACAGGGACGGGGCATTCACTGTCTGAACAGATGTCCCCACTAGGGACACGAGGACAGTAAAGCAGAGGAAGTGCACAGCAGGACATTTAATAAAGAACTGGAGCCACTGCTGGGCACACTGGGGCGGCCACCCATAGGGTCACCGTCTGTGCTGGCCTTCCTGAGTTCGTCCAATGAGACCCCTTGTCATTCACCTGCTGAAGCAAAGCTCAGAGTTAAACACGAAAACGAGAGTGGGGCTGGCCAGCAGCAAAGGGGACATGGAAAGGTGTGAGGAACAGCATGAACGGGAGCCCAGAGGACAGGTCATCGGCGATATGGTCCCCCCTTGCCTGGGGAGCAGGGATGGGGCAAACAGTTCCAGGCTTCTGTCTCCAAAAAACACAGCAAGACAGTTCAAAGGAGACAGAAAACGGAGCGAGGGCACGAGAGTGGGGTGGCAGCTTGGCGGTGTCACCCCTAAAGTCACTCACCAGGCCAAGGGATTCTCTCCTGACCTCTCCAGCAGCAGAAACCATGTCTCAGGCTGCCAAGGCCTCGGCCACGGCCACAGCGAACCCCGAGTCTGACGGCAAGGGGAAGGCGGCCCCGCCCGCTGGACCTGCCCCGGGCCCCGCCATGGCCCCAGCGTCCGGAACCCTGCCCACGGCCAAAGTGGGGGACCTGCCACCCCCCAGCTACAAGGTAAGATGTGGAGGTGACAGCTGGGCTCTGCGCCTGCGCGTTTTCACTCCTCCTCCATCTCCTCCTCCTCCTCCATCTCCTCCTCCATCTCCTCCTCCATCTCCTCCTCCTCCTCCATCTCCTCCTCCTCCTCCATCTCCTCCATCTCCTCCTCCTCCATCTCCTCCTCCATCTCCTCCTCCTCCTCCATCTCCTCCATCTCCTCCTCCTCCATCTCCTCCTCCATCTCCTCCTCCATCTCCTCCTCCTCCTCCATCTCCTCCATCTCCTCTCCTCATCTCCTCCTCCTCCTCCTCCTCCATCTCCTCCTCCTCCTCCATCTCCTCCTCCTCCTCCTCCTCCTCCATCTCCTCCTCCTCCTCCATCTCCTCCTCCTCCTCCATCTCCTCCTCCTCCTCCTCCTCCTCCATCTCCTCCTCCTCCATCTCCTCCTCCATCTCCTCCATCTCCTCCATCTCCTCCTCATTCTTCCTTTGGCCTTTTTCCCTCTCTTCTCTCCCTCATGTTGATGGCACTGGGATTTGGGGTTTTTGGGTTGGGGTTGGGGATTTTGGTCATACCAGGAGCGCTTTGTGCTTCTGGACAGGCGCTCTCCATCCTGAGCGTCACCCCAGCCCCTTTTGCTTTAGCTGTTCTGCAGATAGGCTCTCACTTTTTTCCTTGGCCAGGCTGGATCTGGATCCTCCTGCTTCTGCCTCCTGTGTAGCTGTGACCACAGGCGTGCATCACCACATCCAGGTTATTGATTGAGATGGGGTCTCACAAATTATCTCCCCAGGCTGGCCTGGAACCATGATCCTCCCAATGTCTCCCTTTTGAGTAGCTGGGATTACAGGCATGAGCCACTGCACCCAACCTCCTTTCCCCCATCTCCCTGTCCACTCTCCATCCTCTCCCTCCTCTGCCTCTTCCTTCCATGGCCCAGTCAGTGTGAGAGCCCAGAAAATTGTCAAACGCAGCCTTCTCTGCCGAAGGGTCCCCTGCCATCCACGCCCTCACAGCCTGTACGTGGAGTCTGTCGAAAGCCAGAAACGGGGAAGGAAGAGGGAGTGGATGCCTGGCAACTGAAGCCACTTGTCCCAGAAAACCCCTACCGGCAGGTGGCCTCAGACCCTCCTGAAGGTCACCAGAGCAGTCCAGGCTACAGGGCTCCTGGACAGCCAGGCACCTGGGCCCAGGCTTTGGTTTGGGCCTCGTTGCAGAGAACTGGCTGTCCTTGCTTCATGACCTGCTCGCGTGTGGTCTCGCACGGCTGGTTTTTATGTACACCATTTATGCAATCATTAATTTAAACTTAATATTGAACAGGGAAACACCTGCAAACCCCCCCCATTTAGATCAAAACCAGGACTTTATTAAAAAAAAACTGCTCTGCCTGTGCTGAGGGTCCCTTGTGAGTCTCCCCCGCCCCCAGGCCCAGGCATTTCTGCCATTTTTATTTTCTCCTTGCTCTTTTTTTTTTTTTGATGGGACCAGGATTTGAACTCAGGGCTTCACACTTCACAGCAGGCGCTCCACCCCTGGAGGCACTCCTCCAGTCCATTCTGCTCCCGTGATTTTGGAGATAGGGTCTCGAGAACTGTTTTCCTATGCTGGCCTCGAACTGTGATCCTCCCCATCTCAGCCTCCCGAGTAGGTGGGATTACAGGCGTGAGCTGCCAGCCCACCTTGCCTGCTCTATTTTTATGAACTTTTATGTGTTGTCCTTTTACAATGCCTCCCCCCCTTTTTTTTAACCTTTCTGAAATATGCTGCATGTGGTCATCCTGGGTTTTTCTTGTACCCCTAACACCCCTCCTTGGAGCCTCTAGGGGTCATTAGTTTTGTCTGCTGTGACAGTTCAGAGATGGCCCCCACATCTGGTCACTGGTTTTCAACTTGTGAACGGTTGTGGCTTGGTTTATTTCTGTTTTGAGATAGGGTCTGGGTAATTGCCCAGCCTGGCCTCGACCTCCTGGGCTCAAGCTGTCCTCCTGCCTCAGCCTCTTCAGTAGCCAGGACGACAGGTGGGCGTCACCAAGCCCGGCTTGGCCGTGGTGGTCTTCTCCTGTCTCCTGGGGCATCTGCAGGAGTTTTTGTGGGAGTGGGAAGGACTCGGGGCTCCATCCGACTGGACGTGGGCTGGCAAGTAGATAAAGAAACCCAGGCCAGGCTCAGTGAGGAGACGCTAGCCGGGCTCCCCCCGCGTGGGGAGGAGCCACTGGCGGCCATGGCGCACATCTGGGGACACAGATAAGGAAACCAGCAGCTCAGGGCGGGGACATGGCTCAAGTGACAGAGCGCCTGTGTAGAAAGCCAAGGCCCTGAGTTCAAACATTGAAACCACCAAAAAAATAAATAAAATTGATCTTTGGAGGAGGTGTGAGGGGGAGAGAGAGAGAGGCCAAGCAGCAGCGACTGTGCAGTGCTGTTACTTCGCTGATAATGGGAAGAACGCAGTCAGCAAGCCCTAAAATGGGAAGCGGGAGCGATCCTGGAAGGCTTCCTGGAGGGGGTGTCTTGTGAGCCTAGAACAGCGGTGCGAATGACAGCCAGCCTCGAACGTGAGTTAGGCGGAGGGAGCTCCAGTATGGGGTGCGTGTTCCAGGAGGAAGAACAGCTCGGAGAAGGGCCCGGGAGGGAGGGCCCTCGGCCCGTTCCTGGTGAAGACGCAGATCGGAAGTTTTGTGCTGGGGGGAAGGAGGACGCACCACGGCTCCTCTCTGGCTCTCTGGTCTGGTTCGGTCGGCTTGGTTCAGATTGGCCATGGCGTCTTCTCTCCCGCAGCTGGTGGTCTTCGAGCAGGAGAACTTCCAGGGCCGCCGGGCGGAGTTCGCGGGGGAGTGCCTGAACCTGGGAGACCGCGGCTTTGACCGAGCGCGCAGCCTCATCGTCACCTCAGGACCGTGAGTGTGCATGTGACACGGTAGCCTGGCCCTCGCCAGTGCCACCTCTGTCACTTCCTCTCCCCTCTGCCACCCCGAGACGGGCACTGCCAGCCAGGTGAGGAAGCTGAGGCACACAGGTCATCGAGGACTGAGTGGAAGGTCGGCCTCATAGGAAGCCAAGGTGCTGGGCTCCGGGAAGAAGCTAGTTGTGTCTGGAAGCTGTCGTAGCCAGGACGGAGGGCAGCAGGAAGCCAGAGGCTAAGTGTCCCTGCTGTCCCCCTCCTGGGCATCTGCGAGGCGCCCAGCAGGTGCCTGGCCCTGGCAGGGGTGCAGTTAGAATATTGCACCACGGTGAATAAAGGGAGGATCTAACCCTACACTCGTGGAGCAGGTGGGGAAACTGAGGCACTGAGCTGGCCTTGGCCTCGGGATGGTTGGTTCCATTTGCTGAGGTCCTAAGCACCAGGCTCACTGCCCGTCCCTGACTCTGGGCGTCTCTGGGCCTTAACGACCCCATAGAAGGCAGGAATGATCTCCAGGACAGACTGACTGCCAGGGTCAGCCCCAGTGAGCTGAGGCCAGGGCCCTGACCCTTTGCTGCTGTGATCCCCCCCCCGGAACCCCCCAAGGACAGGTCATCCTGTGCACTGGGCCTCTCGGGGCTGTGTACAGCGCAAACCGCAGAGGTGGACGTCAGACTCTGAGGTCAGATCAGCGTGGGTTTGAGTTCCGACTCCCTCAGGTGCCTGCTCCATCTCCCAGCCTCAGTTTCCCCGTCTCTGGAATGGGCAGTCACGGTCCTCACGCCCTCACAGGCTTTTCGGAGGTCCACAGGAGAGAATGCAGCATGGGGGGGCAACTTGTGGCCACCTGAATGTGACAGGTGACTCCCATGACTGTCTGCCTTCCCCACTGCCCTGAGACTTTATCCAGGTCACCCTGGTCCCTGGTCAGCTTGGGGACCATTTGTGACTCCTGACCCACTCCACAACACCCCCAAATGTAGCTAATGTTGCCACAGCCCCACCCCCACCCCACCCCACTCCTAACCCCACCCCCACCCCACCCCACTCCTAACCCCACCCCCACCCCACCCCACCCCCACCCCACCCCCACTCCTAATCCCACCCCCACCCCACACCCCACCCCAGCCCACCCCCCCCCCACTCCTAACCCCACCCCCACCCCACCCCACTCCTAATCCCACCCCCACCCCACTCCCACCCCACCCACCCCCACCCACTCCTAACCCCACACCTCACCCCCACCCCACCCCACCCACCCCACCCCACCCCACCCCCACTCCAGTCCAGCCCAGCTGGGAACAGAACTCCGGATGTGGCCAGCCTGGGGCTCGGGCTGTTTTTGGTGCTGTGACTCAAACCCCGGATGTTCCTCCTTCCGCAGGGACACAGCCTCAGCCATGGAAGTGGACAGAAATGGCCTGGGGTGCGGGGCAGGCGGGCTGCAGGGATGTGGACAAGAGGATGAAGGAAGTGGGCAGGTGGCAGGGAGGAGAGAATGGGACACTGCAGCCTGACACCTGACACCACGGGTGACCTTAGGCTGGGGACTGTCCTTCTGGGTCTCAGTGTTCATGTCTGCCCTCCGCCTTCTGGTTTTCAGTTTCTAATGAGGCACAGGTGTGAGAAAGGCACTGCCATGTTAATCTTCCTCACCCTCTGCCAGGTGGCCCTGCCCCCTAGGGAGGACCGGGAGGGGGAAGGGAGATGGAAGGACAGCAGCTGCTGTCTGTCCTTCCCTCATCTGCGGCCTGCAGCAGCTTCCCTCCTTCTCTAGTCACAAGTGAGCATTTGCTGTGCTTACTCTGTGTGGAACCTGACCCTGACCGGTGCCATCTCTGTCCCTGGTCAACCAAAGCTCCTGACCACAGATATGCAGACACCCCTTCTTGCACTGATGCTTCAGGGACAGCCCAAATCTCACAGCAGACAAATGACTGGCGAGCTGGGACTCGAACTCAGACCTCCTCTTTCCAGGGTCTGTGCTCTTAACACCTATAGAGCACCTCTTCCAAGACTCCCTCCCCATCCATCCACCCACCCATCCATCCATCCACCCATCCATCCACCCACCCATCCATCCACCCATCCATCCATCCACCCATCCACCCACCCACCCACCCACCCATCCACCCATCCACATCCACCCACCATCCACCCATCCACCCATCCATCCACCCATCCACCCACCCATCCACCCATCCACCCACCCATCCACCCATCCATCCACCCACCCATCCACCCATCCACCCACCCACCCATCCACCCACCCATCCACCCATCCACCCATCCACCCATCCACCCATCCACCCATCCACCCATCCATCCATCCACCCACCCCACCCATCCACCCATCCATCCACCCATCCACCCAACCATCCACCCATCCACCCATCCATCCACCCATCCATCCACCCACCCACCCATCCACCCACCCATCCACCATCCACCCACCCATCCACCACCCATCCACCCATCCATCCATCCATCCACCCATCCACCACCCACCCACCATCCACCCACCCATCCACCCACCCATCCACCCATCCACCCACCCGTCCACCCACCCATCCACCCACCCGTCCATCCATCCATCCACCCATCCACCCACCATCCACCCATCCACCCATCCACCCATCCACCCATCCACCCACCCATCCACCATCCATCCACCCATCCACCCATCCACCCATCCACCCATCCACCCATCCACCCATCCACCCACCCATCCACCACCCATCCACCCATCCACCCACCATCCACCATCCATCCACCCATCCATCCACCCATCCACCCACCATCCACCCATCCATCCACCCATCCACCCATCCATCCACCCATCCACCCACCCATCCACCCACCCATCCACCCATCCACCCATCCACCCACCCATCCACCCACCCATCCACCCATCCATCCACCCCACCCATCCACCCACCCATCCATCCACCCACCCATCCACCCATCCATCCACCATCCACCCATCCATCCACCCATCCACCCATCCACCCACCCATCCATCCCACCCACCCACCCAATCCATCCACCCATCCACCCATCCACCCACCCATCCATCCATCCACCCATCCACCCATCCATCCACCCATCCACCCATCCATCCACCCATCCACCCATCCACCCACCCATCCATCCACCCACCCATCCACCCATCCATCCACCCATCCACCCATCCATCCATCCACCCATCCACCCATCCATCCACCATCCACCCATCCATCCACCCATCCACCCATCCACCCACCCACCACCCCATCCATCCATCCACATCCACCCACCCATCCACCCATCCACCCACCCATCCACCCATCCATCCACCCATCCACCCATCCACCCACCCATCCATCCACCCACCCATCCACCCATCCATCCACCCATCCACCCATCCACCCACCCATCCATCCATCCACCCATCCACCCATCCACCCATCCACCCATCCACCCATCCATCCACCCATCCATCCACCCATCCACCCATCCACCCATCCACCCACCCACCCATCCACCCACCCACCCACCCATCCTTTTCTCTCTACTCCAGAGCAGGCCGGGCAGTACTCACGTCCTGAAGGACATGCCCACATCCGTCAGGCCATCTTCACCGGCCGTGACCTCTGGGTTGTCAGCCATCTCCCATGTTTCCTTTTAAACGACCTTTAAGCAGCAGTACACAGGTCTGTAAAGGACGTGTGCGTCCCTTTGCTAAATGGAGAAGGTGCCATGAGGACACCGCGGTGCGCACACAGGCGAGGCTCTGGCCGGGGCCTGTTCTTCCTTTGTTTCTGAAAGAGAGATCGGTACGCGACAGACACACTGACGTTGAACAGGGACTTTCTCTTAGGTGTGTGTCCTTTGGTCCTCTGTCCTCGTAGTACGTCACGCGGTGTGAATTCTACGCTGCAGACGCAGCTCGCTCAGATAGCCGCACGGCGTCTCACGTAACCCTTCGCCGACTCCCAAAGCAGGCAGATGAGGGATCAAAGATCAGAGAGGTCAGGCCACTTGCCCGTAGTCACACAGCCAGTAAGGGGTGGCAGCACCCCGGTGCGTTAGGTGCACTTTGTCCTAGCGGTGGTAGGAGGACAAGTTAGGAGTGGACAGCTGCTGATGGTGTTTCTCCTTTCTGCCTCTGTCCCCATGTCCTGGTCCGTCCAGCTGGGTCGCCTTCGAGCAGTCCAATTTCCGTGGGGAGATGTTCGTCCTGGAGAAGGGCCAGTACCCCCGCTGGGACACCTGGTCTAGCAGCTACCGCAGTGACCGTCTGGTGTCCTTCCGGCCCGTCAAGATGGTGAGTGGCTCGGGGTGGGGGCTGGCCGGGGTGGGCTGGGAGGAGGAAGGAGTGGTGACCAGGGAAGCCTGGTGACTTCTGGCTGTCCAGGAACAGTGGGTCCTTGTCCTTATGGCCATCAATTCCTCCAGCATCCTGACGCTCCCGATGCGAGCTGGCCCTGGGCCTCGAGCCCTGGACAGACAGACTCTCAGACAGACAGGTGCCTCCCTTCTGTAGGGTGTTCGAAACCCGGGCTGCAATTGCAGCTTTTAAAAGCCCAGTGCCCACCCTGCACTCAGCCACGCGGGTGGGAAATGACTGAGACGGGGGTTTTGAGGGAAGCTGGTAATAACACGACTGCACGAGCCTCATTGTATCTACCTAAGTCTGCGTGAAGGAGACTCGAGTCTGCCTAAGTAGAAACGTCCCCGCGTGAGTCGGAGTTTTGTCCGGAATCGTGAGTCAACCACAGCTTGCTCACTGACGCTCAGCTCTGACGGATCCTCAACTTTTGTCTTCTGAGCTGGAAATATTTACCACAAATTTCACGAACGAACAAACCGGGTGCCAACAAGTTTGGTTATTTAAAACTTCTTTTTGGCGACACTGGGATTTGAACTCAGGGCTTTGCACTTGCAAAGCGGGCGCTCTACCCCTTGAGCCACTCCTCCAGTCCATTTTGCTCTGGTTATTTTGGAGCTGGGGTCTTGTGAACCATTTACCCGGGCTGGCCTCAAAACACGATCCTCCTGATGTCAGCCTCCCCAGTTGCTGGAATTACAGGCGTGAGCCACGGTGCCCAGATAAGTGACTGCTTTGACATCACCAAGTGTATCTTCATGGTTGAGCCACCAGAGCGCTCTCGGTGTTTCCTCAGCATTTCCCTTCGACATTGAATGACCTTACGTGATCGTCTAGGTCACGGTATTTTAGGTGAGGCGGTCTTTCCACTCTGGACACCTCCTCCAGGCAGGCGAGCCCCACTGTGGGTTCACTTGCTTCCACACCTGTGCCCGGGACAGGCAAGGTCCTGGTCTTCCGGGGTTTACACCCAGCAAATGAAATCCTAACGACGGAGCTTGGTCTCTAACCTCAACCCATGCTGGGTGACACACCGGAGCCACACAGTCTCCCTAGGAGAGCAGTGCAGGGAAGAGAGCGGACGCTGCCATCGGTGCACGTGGCCGGCCACGGCCAGGAAAGCCAGCTCCTGTGAGAAGATCCGCAGAACTGGAAATGGCCACGAGCCAGGAAAAGTCGCCACTCTTCAGGCAGCAAGATTTCTCTGAAGGGTTCTGTTTCTTGCCGCTGTGCACCATGGACAGCAGCCTTGACCTCTCTGAGCACCGGGCAGGGACCCATTCCATCCTGATGACAGCCCCTGGGGACTGTCACCTCCTTCACAGACGAGTAAGGTCCTTCCGAGGCAGGCACAGTGGCCTGCACGGTCACATAGTCGGTCCACAGCCGGAGACCCACGGTGTCCGTTCCCCAAGCCCCCTGCTGACCCGCCCCTGCTTCCCCAGGACTCCCAGGGGCACAGGATCTGCCTGTTTGAACGGGACAACTTCAAGGGCAACACCATGGAAATCCAGGAGGACGATGTGCCCAGCCTCTGGGTCCATGGCTTCGGTGACCGCGTGGGCAGCGTGAGGGTCTCCGGTGGAACGTAAGCCCCCCGCCCCCGGGCTTCAGTGCAGACAGGCTGGGAGGCTGTCCCCTCGCGGGATGTCACATGGGGACCCGATGGCCTCGGGGATGGAGAGCTGCTTTGGCCAAGTCCACCTCTGCCTAAACCAGTCCGGCCAAGGGTCAGAGGTGGGGGACCCTGACCCCGAGGCCATGGTGGCGATGTAGGATTAATGGAGTCGGGCTAGGCCAGCAGGTGAGGGGACAGATGTTCAGAGGATCTTGGCGCTGTGGGGAAGTGACCAGAATGACCTCCAAGGCTGCCAGCTGGGCACACGAGACTCGTGCTCGAAAAGCGTCCCCTTTCTGCCTTGGCTTTCTGGAATTTAAGGTTTCCAAGCTCCATGTCCGTGAGGACACAGGGACAGCACGGTGTCTAAAGGGGGCCACTTTGCCCACCTCCTGCCTCCAAATGGCCAGGCCACATGGCCCAGGTCCCTGGGCAAATGCAAGGCTTGGGTGTCCCCACCTGCATCCTGTGTTCCCGTAAAACTCTCAGGGCCTCGGTCTTTTTTTTTTTTTTACCTCCTTGCTCCTCCCCTGGAGGGACTGTGTCCCTGTCCCCAGGCCTGTGTGCGGAGGGCGGAGGTGAGGGGTCTGAGAGGGGCCTGGGAAGACCCTCCCGGCAGAACGAATGGTCGATAATTCAGCTGAGCACTCCAGGCGACTCGCAACACCCCAACTCACAGGGGCTAAACTGAGGCTCCAAACCCCCGGCTGCCTAGAGGACCTCAGGTGTTCAGAGCAGGGACTGCATGGTTCCCAGATGCCATGCATGGCTCCCCTTGCATACAAAGGAGCCCTGAGTTTGGAAAAGGCTTTTCTCTGCCCTCTTCCCTGCCTCGGTCCTCACAGCCCCCTGGGTCCCCCCATCCCTGAGCCCAGCACCCCCGGGAGGGCGATTATCTCCCCACCATGCACAAGCTCCCTATTCAGCAAATTCTGTGGGCACACCCATCCATTTGCCCCCCGCAAACATTCTCAATAAACCAGCCACCAGCCGGGCACGGTGGCTCACACCTGTAATCCCAGCTACTCAGGAGGCAGCGCTCAGGAGGATCGTGGTTCAAAGCCAGCCCAGGGAAATAGTTCACAAGACCCTGTCTTGAAAAACCCATCACATAAAAGGGACGGTGGAGTGGCTCACGGTGTAGGCCCCGAGTTCAAATCCCAGTATTGCAAACAAACAAACAAACAAAAAATAGCTGGCTGTGCCAGCCTTCCAGAAGAGGACAAGGGATCAGAGAGGGTTAGATGGTTCCCACGGGGCACACAGCAGGAAAAGCAAAGCCAGGGCACGGGAGCCCCGGCTTGGTGCCCCAAGTCCAGGGGTCAAAGGTAAGCCTTAGTGGGAGACTGCCGAGAGGGATGGAGGCACCGCTGGTCCAGCAGAGGTCAGGCTGCGGGTCTGCCACCTCCATGCTGTCCTCTTGTCCCTCCAGCTGGGTCGGTTACCAGTACCCCGGCTACCGTGGGTACCAGTACCTCCTGGAGCCCGGGGACTTCCAGCACTGGAACGAGTGGGGCGCCTTCCAGCCACAGATGCAGGCCGTGCGCCGTCTGAGGGACCGGCAGTGGCACCGTGACGGCTGCTTCCCCGTGCTGGCCGCCGAGCCCCCAAAGTGAGCCCCCGCTGCACCCCGCTCCCCCACCCCGGGCCTTCCCCAACCCCAACGACCCCATCTTCTGCATGCAAATAAAACTCCTAAAGCCACCTGTCTCCTGAGTCTGTGACTGGGTCGGTGCAGGTCCCCTCACTGCCGGGACATCACAGCCTTGGTCTCGATAGTTACAACTGTAGGCCGGGCGCCATGGCTGCCGCCTGTAATCCCAGCTACTCGGGAGGCTGAGATCAGGAGGATCCAGGTTCAAGAGCAGGCTGGGCAAAAAGTACACAAGACCCGGTCTCCAAAATAACCAGAGCAAAATGGACTGGAGGAGTAGCTCCAGCGGAAGGAGGGAAGGAGGGAGGGAGAGAGAGAAGGAAGGAAGGAAGGAGGGAGGATGGGAGGGGGTGGCCTGCCACCAGCCTCAGTGTGACAGTGACACCTCTTGGAGTGGAGATCCCTCGGATAGGAAGGACCAGACTCACTCATTTCACTCAAGCAGGAAGAGGCAAAAGCACCCTAAAAACGCAAGGGTAGAGCACCCACTTTGCAAGCGTGGAGCCCCGAGTTCAAATCCCACCCCACCCAAAAAATTAAAACAAGAGAAAAGACAACAAACTCTGCGCCTTAGTGACTCTGTCAAACTACTCTGGGAGACTGGCGTCATGATTCCAGGGGAAGTGACTTGCCCGAGGTCACCCAGCAGGGGAGTCCAGGTCAGAACCCAGCTGTCTGACCCCAGAGCCCGTTCTCCTCGACAAACTCTCAGTCTTCGTGCACCACGCTCATGGTTCTCTGCCCGGCCTGCAAACCACCCGGCCGATCGTGTTCTTAATATATTTTTTTAAATAGACTCACCCCTTGGTGCTGAAAAGCACTGATTTGTAAATAAAACTTTATGGCGCCCGGGAGAAGCAGGAAGTCGGCATCATTTGTCAGAGCCGGAAAGGAAACACAGATAGGCCAAGTGCCATCAGGTTTGCTCTCTGCTAAATGGCTGGTTAGCCAGAGACCAGCTTGTGCCAGGTGAAGTGCTCCCAGAGTCAATCAATGAACATCGCTTTTGTGGAGCTGATTCACAGTGATTTAATCCGGAGTCTGGGAGCCACTGAAATCTGAAATCTGCACTGGGCGTTACTGATGGGTGTTAACCATTAATCCAGGCAGGAGCCTGGCAGGAGGGGGTGGCTGTGGATGTCACCAGCTGAAGGACAGAATATTTTAAAGGCGCCTCCAGCGGTGGCATCAGAGCTTGCGTGGTGGGGAATGGGGCTGACAGCCGGATGGCGACTTTGTACACACGGTTAAAAGATGGCTCTTCCCCCAGACTCTTCGCCGACACCAGCCACAAATCTGTGACGTCTACCAAGTGAACCTGTGCCGTGCCCACCTTGCAGCACGGTACCTGGCAGCCCTGCGGCACCACGAGGAAAGTCACTGAGACTCAGGGAGATTGTGGTGGCCCCGGGAGAGGCTTGCTGAGGTGGCAGCGGTGGCTGGAAGGGGGTGACAGGAGAGCAAGCCCGTGACACCCCAGCCTGCCTTTCCTCCTGACCCTCCTTGTCCCCACAGGGTCTTGGGCTTTGTCTGCGGACCAGGATCCCTGAGTGAACCAAGACACGACAGGTTCCTTCTGTCCTTTTCAGACCCCGCAAAGTGTCACACAGTCACTTCCTTTCCCTGGTCTCCAGTGTCCACCCAGCCTCACCGTTCTGAAGTTGGGCTTCTGCCATTTTGTCCCACGACCCTCTAGGGGTGTGCGAGCCATCTGTGATCTTCCGTGATTTTCTGATTCTGAAGTCCAGTTATGTCAGCCCCTGAGGTCTGAGTGTCCGGTTCTCCGGGCCTCCTGTGGCCATTCAGCCCCATGAGCCACGCAGCCTTACCCTTCGCGGTCCTACGGACGGCAAGACGCGCCATGATCCCCTAATCCGAGAGAGAAAGAGAACTGCTAAGCCCTGAAAAGCCACCCGGCGGTTCTCAGGACTTCCGTTTTACGATGACTGAACGAACCATCTCCGACACACCGTCTTAACTTCCACGTGTCAAACCGACGAGTCCTGTAAAAGAAAACGAACCGACGCACGCCTGTAATCCCTGCCACTCGGGAGGTGGGGGTTGGAGGACCACGGTCAGGACAGCATGGACAAACGTGGGAGACCCTATTGTCACCAGTGCCCTGGCCTCAATGCCAAGTCACAAATAATGAGAGTGGGGTTTTGAGGAAAGGAAATAAAGTTTATTATTCATCAGCAAACAGCTGGGCAGGGAGAGTCATACCCTCGAAGCTCTGTCGTCCACTTCGGAGAGAACACGCCCACTTTTCGTTCTGCGATACTGGGATTTGAACTCAGGGCCTCACGCTTGCCAGGCTGTGGTTCCGCTTGAACCACTTTGCCAGTCCTCTTTTGGGCTTTTTTTAGATAGCGTCTTATGAACTGTCTGCCCAAGCTGGCTTTGAACCTAGATCTTCCTCATCTCTGAATCCCAAGTAGCTGGGATTACAGGTGTGAGCCACCGGCACCCAGCTAAAAGTCCACTTTTTAAAGTGCGGGGAGCTCAGGGGCTCAGCTTGACTTTGTGACCAGATCTGTGTCCGCCATGGCTGCTGGCCTCGGTTCTCCAGATGTCCACTGCCACATTTCCGACCCTGTATGTCTTGACTGACTGCGTGACCGCTCTGGAGGTCGGAGAGAGAGAAGGGAGAAGATGTCTGGTTTAACTGAGGAGAAAAGGGAGTTAACCTTGCCTCTGCCCCGGGGAGACAAAGGGGAAAATGTCAGTTGATTAACGGGCCGAGAATATGACCCGCTACACTGAGAATTTTCCCTTTTGTAGTCCCATTTTCCTCACTGATGGTTTCTTCCATTTCTTTGGAAAAGAGGCGTCACCCTCATGTCACTGCTTCCTGCCTATAATTCACTCCTGGCCCGAGGAGGGGTTGTGCTCCTCCGTTTACGCTTTCAGTCCCGTTCTGCTATCTGAAAAAACAAAGTAAGGACAAAAGTGCCGGTGCAGTGGCTCGAGTGGCAGAATGTCTGCGCAGCAAGCGTGAGGACCTGAGTTCGAGTCCCAGTGCTGCCAAAAAAGCCCATGTAAGTATATGAACACGTATGCATAGAACGTATATCTATTTGCTACTCGCCAGTTAGGTTGGTCCCAAATATTCCCGTACTCACAGTCTGGGTCTTCCAGATTGCCTTCAGCTCGAAGGTGTCCGCACTCTCCCGCAGGTGCTCACTGAGGAAGGCAAAACTGAGCAAGTCAGCCTTGCTAAACAGGCCACACACTGGCCGAAACAGAAGCCGGAAGGAGATAACAGCGCTTCTCGCTATTTAATTTATTCCAAATGCACAACAGGAAAAGCAGAACGTATAAAATGACATGGAAAAACAAACAATGAAGATGACAAGAACCATCGGGCATGGTGGTGCGTGCCTGTAATCCCAGACACACGGGAAGATGGTGGTTGAGTCCGGCACAAGCAAGAATGTGAAACCTTGTCTGAAAAGTCACTTAAAGCAAAAAGGGCCAGGGTGTGGCTCGAGTGGCAGAGTGCCTGAGCCCTCAGCCCTAAGGCCCTGAGTTCAAACCCTGGGACAGCCAAAAAGAAAAGAAAAAATCATGAAAAGAACTGAGTGAAAGAACCATGTAACCAGGCTGGCCTGTGAACCTGGTGTTTCTGTCCCGGAAATGTGACCTGCAAGCCACCTGGGGCTTAAAGATTGGTCCCATTTTCGTCCTGAAACCGAAACTTCCAGTTTCGGCTACATCAGGTGCTCAACTCAGAAATGATTTTGGGGGGAAAAGGATGGGGTGGTGGGTGTCCACCACCTCCAGTGCTTCTCCACCATAGTTTTGGCTCTGTGTGGAACTTTCTGTCAACCCTGGTGTAGCCACCATGGTGCCAGGGAGGGAAGAGCGACCTGAGTCACCAGCTGTCGTCCTTCCTGAAATCAAACCACCTGGTGGAAACTCTGCTCCTCGTCCGCAAAGCGGGAGTGGTGACAACAAAACCTCAGGAGGTTGTTGGAAAGTGTAAGTGATCGACTTGGCTTGAATGGACTTCTGGACTAGGATTTGAACTCAGGGCCTCGCACTGGCCAGGCAGGCGCTCCACCACCTGAACCCCAGGTCATCTTCCTGGATGTCACAGCTGGCGGGAGCGTGAGGATCGACGTGTTTTATGCTACATTTACCCTGCAACTGCGATCTGTCTTGCCCTTGTGCCCGGCCTGGGTTGTCTAGCCTCCCCTGGGGACCCATCTCCCTGCCTGGTCCTCCATGCAGGAGCCAGGGGGATCTCTGCAGAAGCCACAGCTAGCCCACATTCTTCCCCTCCTGAGCACTTCCCCGGGCCTCCACCTGCAACATACAGCCCTGCCTGCTGTCCCCAGCTGTCTCCCCAGCTTTGCAGCATCTGCCACTCCTCCCACAGACCCTCTGGGCTTTTCTCACCCCCACCACATCCTGTCCACTCTGTGCTTTCTGCACTCAAGGCCCCACGCTCACCTCTGCTCACCTCCTTCCTGTGGGTTGTGCACCTGCTCCCCCCACCTCTGTGACTTAGCAGTGCACCCACCCCTGCTGGTGCACCTGCAAATCCCGCCCTGGACAGGTTACCCCCCTGCTCCTGCCTGCACAGTTACAGGCACCCACTGTGCCCCAAAGCTTGTGGGAGACTCCACCGTCCCCCCATCTGAATGCAGGACACTGGACCTGCTGTCCCCTGAGTCCCAAGCAGGGGCACCCAGTGTTCAGGAAATGCTGTTTCTACAATGTTATTAAAGAAACCACTTCCTTTCACCCCTATTTTTTTTACCCACCAAGAGTCATTAGAAACACCTACCTCCTTTCATTACAGGTCCTCGAGATCACTGACGTGAAGTCTCGAAAATGCACTCAATAAAGACTACAGAAAGTTGTTTTATGGTTAATAACTGGCTCTGCAGAGACAGTGGAACTGGCCAGTGGAGCTGGCACAGGCAGCTGGGATTTTTGGGACCCGTGAATGAATTCACTCGAGTGAGTGAACGAATGAAGCCGTCAGTGAACACTGATCTGGCTGGCCATGAGCTTTGGTTTCACAGGTAGGTGTGTGAGTGTGTACGTGTGCATAAAATTTGCTGTTAGGGTTGAAACTCATACAGAAATTTATTCATTTAGCAGTACTGGGGTTTGAACTCAGGGCCTTGTGTTTGCGAGGCAGGAGCTCCACCTAACCTGAGCCACACCACCGGCTCTTTCTGCTTTGGTCATTTTTGGGGACAGGATCTCACTTGATGCCAGAGGCCTGGGCCTCAGTCACGCCTCCTGTTTACGCCTCCCACATAGCTGGGAGGGCAGGCCGGTGCCACCGCACCCAGCCTTTGGTTGAGATGGAGTCTCGAGTACCTTTCGCCTGGGTAGGCCTGGAACCATCGTCCTCCTGATCTCCACCTCCTGAGTAGCTGGGATTACAGGTGTCAGTCATGCTCCGCACCTCAGAGATTTTCTTAAACAGATAGGATGCATATATACGTGCTTTAAAAAACAAAAGAAAAAGATGGAGGAGAAGGCGGGTTCTCAGAGAGCAGCCTGCCCTTCGCTCCACTCCCTATCTCCGTTCTGCTGATGAAGACTCAGGCAGGCCCCATCTCCCGGCTTAGACCGCCCTGACGTTGCCCAGCCTGAGTTTTCAGGCCTTGGCCCTCATCCTGGGTTTCGTGACCTCTGAAGCATGGCTTCCTGGGTCTCTGGGGGGTAGAGGATAGTGTTCTCTCCTGGGCACTGTAGGATCCCAGCCGCGCTTCTCCCACTAGAACTCAGGGGTCCCTTTCCCCACGCCAACGTCCCCCATCAGCAACCCAAAACTGCAAAAAGTTGGAATGGGGTGGGTGGGGTGGGGTGGTGTCAAGGCAAAATCGCCCCTCCCTCTTTTGTCTTTGGGTCTCGTTCTCTTCTCTCACTGCACTTTGTGACTTTCTTCCACATCTCTGCTCAGAGGGAGCGAGAACCTGCAGGCGCCGTGGGAGGAGAACTTGGCGAGCAGCGGGTGCAGGAAGCCCAAGCGCTCCCAGGGCGGTGGCGTGGCCTCGGGTGCCGAAGGTAGAGAGGCGGAGCGGGGGCGGGACTACGTGGGTGGGCGTGGCCTAGTGCGCTATGGGAGGCGACCGGGGGCGTGGCTTACATAGCTGGGTGGCTTCGTCACTGAGGGGAGAGGCGGGTTAGGGGCGTGGTTACGCGACGGGCGTGTGCTCGGGCGCCATGGGGCGTGGGTCACGCGGTGGGCGTGGCTTTCGGAGCAGCGGGAGAGCCCTGGGGGCATGACTACGTGGTGGGCGTGTCTGAGGGGGCGTGGCCGCGCACCGGGCCACACCCCTGACGTCAGGCGCCCAGCCCCGCCCCGCGTGGCGCTTACCCCGGCCGGCGGCTGGGCGCGCGGGGAGTCTCTGGCTGGCGCGCGGGCCGCGGCGTCGCCTGGGCATGGTAGGTGACTCCGGGCGGCGCGGGGCCTCCGTGGTGGCGGCAGCGGCGGCGGCGGCGCGGCGCGAATCTCGGGTGGGTCGGCCTGAGGTCGCGGGGTCCTGGGTGACACCTCCGGGGCTGGAAGTGCGACCGGGCGCGCGGTCCCAGGCTCCGCAGCCGTCCGCGCCGGGCGCGTTTTCCCGGGCCCGGACCCTGCGGCCGGAGATGCGGGTGGTGACACCGGCGGGGTGGCCGGGTCACCGCCTGCGGAGTCCCCAGCCCCGCCCGGCATGCGGGGAAGTTAACTTGGGGCGCCGGGGAACTTTGCGACGGGCGGTCCCGGCGAGGCGGGGGAGCGGAAATCCCGGCCCGGGTGGGATGCGGTGGCGGAGGCGGGTGTGGACCCCCTGAGAGCCCCGTGAACTCGGAGGTCACAGCCGCGAGCGGAGGGCGGCGGGGATGGGGAGAGGGGACCCACCTGGTCCCAGCCCGGCGACCTCCGTGAGCTGCACGGAAGGCGACCCCGAAACGTGGTCACCTGGGCCGTCGCGCGGGGTCTGGCAAAGCCACTGACTGTGTGGTACAGAGGTCACGGTCTGGCTTTTGTCCCCTCCCTCGGGAGGGTGGAAGCCCTCCGTTTGTTGTGCATTGCTGTCAGGGCACGTGTCTTTTATCACTTTGACCCCTTCCTGCTTTTCAGATGGGGAACTGAGGCTGGGGTGGTCTTATGCGAGTGACAGGCAGAGCTGAAAACTCGCCCTCGGGCTCCTGACTTCTGGTCCTGGAAGGGGTGTTGGGGAAGGGGGCTGGTGAACTCCTATTACTCTTCAGGATCCTTCTCTGGCAGCACCACCTCCTGGAAGCCTTCTCTGGGTACTTCCTGTTGTTAAACCCCACGGAGGTGGCTGACCTTTTCCCTGCTGTGTCGCTCTCCTGGAACTGGGCTGCGCACACCTTTCCCCACCCCCCCCCCGCTCTTCCTGATGGTTAGGCAAGGCTTCTGGACTTGGACAGATCAGCACAGTGATGGGGCCGTTCTCCTCCCACCTGTGGCCTCAGTTTCCATGATTACAGAATGGGGTTTGTGGCATTGTCCTAAATGAACCATTGTACCCTCTCTGAACTCCAGTTGTGCTCCTGTTTACTTAACTTTGTTTCACCGTCTTTTAAAATTATTCATTTAAAATTTTTTCTAGCAACTTTGTTGAGATACAGTCCAGGGCAATACAATTCAGCCTTTTAAAGCAGGCACGCCACTGGGTTTTAGCTTGGTCGGAGAGTTGTGCAACCGTCACCACTGTCTAATTTTAGAACATTTTCATCATCCCAGAAAGAAACACTCATCGACAGTCACTTACCAAACCCTCCTTCCCCATCCCAGGCAACCACTCGTGTATACTCTGTCTGTGAATTCACCTGGACCGAATGGTTCCTGTGCGTGACTCCATTCACGGAAGGGCTTGTCACTTAGGCTGGTGTGTACAAGAAACGTCACATCCCGTGTGGCATTCACCAGCACTTTGTTACTTTCCTTTTTTAATATGCCGTTACTTTTCAGGGCTGAGTAATATTCCTTTGTATGGATATACTGCACTTTATTTATGCACTTCTCAGTTGATGGGCAGTTGGGTTGTTGGCCGTCATGAATACACGTGGCTACCACATTTATGCACAGGTGTCATGTGCGCGTGTTTTTGGTTCTCTTGGGTGTGTACCTAGGCATGGAGTTTCTGGGTCGTGTGTGACTCTATGTTAGCCCTTCTGAGGGACTGCCAAACTTTTCCAAGGCGGCTGAGCCCTTTCATCTTCTCGCCAGCAGTGTGTGATCCTGGAGGTCACTGGCTTTGATGTGTTGGTTATAGAGTGATTCTCTAGGTCGCGCTGGATTGCAGGCTGCCTTAGCAGAGTGAGGCGTGTCCTGCAGTCCCCGGGGGCATCTATGGGGCCTCATGTAGGGGAGCAGAGGTCAGCGTGGGGTGTGGTGAGCCAAGGGATTTGAGCACTTCCGCCTCGCCTGGTGACAGCCAGATGCCTGCTGACGTGGGGACAACAGTGAGGGACACGAGCTCTCAGCATCCACCCAGGACTGGCATCACTGTTGGAGGCAGAGCAGAAGCAGGAACTGCTCAGACCTTTTCACCCCTGGGCAGGCCAGCCTGGAGCCCCCTTCCTAGCCAGTAGGTCAGGGACGTCCTTGGTATGTTTCTAAGATTACAGCCCAGGTCCATCCCTAGGAATCCAGAATCAATCCTGCTCCTTTCCCTGCACGCTTTTTTTTTTTTTTTGCTGTACTGGGGTTTGAACTAAGTCCTCATGGACTCTTGTGCTGGCTCAGAAGTGACCTCTCTGGTGTCCTCAGGAGGCAAGACACATGGGCAGGAGTGGGGGCACAGATAAGCCACTGCTTATTTCTGGGGTGCCATCCCCCATCCTGAGTTCCAAACAGCCCTTCCCTGAATACTGGTCACAATGGTCTTCTCAGACACGACACTACACTTGGAGCCCCCACCTGCTTCTCACGCTGTGCCCTCAGTGAGGTGAGGAGAGAAGTTTCCTAAGGGAGTCCGTTCTCATTCCAGGTTCCTGGGACCTGCGGGTGTCCCCTGGGCTGCCTCTGCTTGCAGGACATTGGGCCATGCCTCCTGGGCTCAGGGTCTGACTCCGCCTGCTGTTCCTCATTTTTTGTTCTTGTCCTTCCTTGTCCCTCAAGAATCCTGAGTGCTTGTACTTAGGACATGGGTAGGAAATGGAGACAGCAAGTAGGGGCGGCTGGCGAGGTGCCCCAGGGGAGTGGGCGTGGACCACTGGAACTCAGATGTGGCAGCACCTCAGGCAGGCCAAATGCATTCTCAGTGTCACTGTGCGGACACAGCTTAAGACTGGGGCAGGTGATCAGAATGTGCCTTTTAAGCTGGGCGGGCGCTGTGGCTCATGCCTGTAATCCCTAGTCCCTCAGGAGGCAGAGATCAGGAGGAGTGAGGTCTGAAGC